AACCCTTGCCTCCAGAAGGCTCTGGCGTCCCTTCCTGGAGCTCTGCAGAAACCTGCTCCTGGCAGGCGTTCGCTTGCAGGTTTTATGAGGTGTTCAGAAGTGTTAATGCGGGTTTATGAGATTTAATATTAGTACTATTCAAATCTAAGAGACCCCCATTAAGTTCAGAAAGCTTTTCTTGGGGCTTCGGCTTGAGGGTTTGGAGTTTGGGAGTTTGGGAGTTTGGGTTTTTTACTTGAGATCCAAGGTTTGGAGTTTGGCGTGTGGGTTCCCGGGATTTAGGGTGTAAAGCTTGGGGTTTAGTGGAGGCAGGAGTCATTAACAACAAACCTACTATGAGATACCCCAACCCGGTCAAAACCCTAGGTTTAGGGCTTAGGGTTCGGGGGTTTAGGGTTAAGGGTTTTGGGGTCCTATTCTATGTGTTAAGGTCACAACAGTCACGACAATAACATTTCCAAGCCCGGTCAACCTGCTGACAGCTGCAGCAATCCGACGTCAAGCCGACAACATACCGAGGCCTGAACCCTGTTCCCGAAACCCTAAATACCCTAAACCCTAAACCTTAAATACTAAACCCTAAACCCTAAACCCTAAATACTAAACTCTAAACCCTAAATACTAAGCCCTTTACCCTAAACGGTCAACCCTCTTCAACTCTAAAGACAGCTTCCGATCCTAGCTCTATGGACCCTGATCTGGGGGCCTTCATACATCGAATAGGGCTTTAACGTTTAGTTTAGGGGATATTTGATACCAAAATTTATGTATGAAGGAAACCAGTGGAATACGATTCGTAATTAGGTAGGCCCCTACAATTTCTTACACCTTGAAGTCAGTCTTCAGCTCAGAGCCGCTGGTAGCAAAGAAAAGGTCGAGGTTCGCCATCTTCCCTTTTCCCTCGAAGCTAATCCTAAGAACGGACTTTTGGGTTTAGGGTTTGGGGTTTAAAGGGTGCTAGGCTTGGGATTTCGGGGTTGCGGTTCAAGCAGGCCTCAAAAGGCTCGTCTGCATAGTCGCTGTACTTCCCAGCGGGTGATGCCTGCGGCTCTATGTGAGTGGTTCTTCTAAATCAAGGTTCCTTTTTAGGTCCCAGAATGGTGTACGTCACACTTATGAAAAGGACCCTAGAAGTAATTACTAGATGCCAGCACCCCAAGCCCTAAAAACTACTACTACGACGACGACTACGACTACTACTGCTACACCACCACCACCACCACGACCACGACCACCACCACCGCCACCCTCGCAACCACGGCCACTTCCAGTCCCACTCCCACTCCCACTACCCCTACTGCTACCACTACCCCTACCAGTACCACTACTAACACTACACTACTACCACTACTACCACTACGACTACGACGACGACGACGACTACTACTACGACTACTACGACGACGACTACAACAACAACAACAACAACAACTACTACTACTACTACTACTACTACTACTACTACTAGTGGTGAAGCTGCTTGAATGCCTCGTCTCGAGGCTCGCTGCTCGGTTCCATTGGCAATCGCGGCGATGCCTGCATGGCTGCTGGGAGCTGTGGCGCGGGGAGCTTTCTTTGACTGCTTGGATGGGCACTAAACATATTATAGGGGAAAAATATTTTTTCCTCTATAATATGTTTAAGATTGAGATCTGAGCTGTGTGCTGTGAAGGGTGCCCGGTCGGTGTGACAACCGCCCTCCACCAACACAGAAGACGGGCCTCTGCCGACCGGATGCTCGGCTCGCTCGGGACGGCCTCCGCCTTTAGCTCTTCCTTGGCCTTTGGCAGGAAACGTGTTGGGAAAATCTAAGTTATTTACGCCACGAGGATTGGGGAAGCATGTGCACGTCAACGTGCAGGCCGCAAAGACCTCCCACAACGGGCCCAACGACCCCAACACGTCCGTCAGGTACGAGGATCTGTTGCCGTAGACTCTCATATGCTTCTGTGGGATGCCGAGACTTGACTGCGATCACGCAGGAAATTTTAAGATTGGAGCTTGAGCAGGATTCTTGGGGCGGTTTGCTGCCTCATGTCATGCTTGAAGCTGTGTTTCTACCGAGCTAGGCTTCCGAGCTTGGACTTTGCGGCGAGTTCAGAGCATGAAGGATCATGCCAAAGAACCTCAACACCTGTTAAATCATTGAAAACGTTTCTCTGTCACTGCATGACAACCTGTGTCAAGGAAGTCCCCGCGCCATCCGCATTCAAAACGTTTTCTCTGTCACCGCATGACAAGCTGTGTCAAGGAAATGCCCGACCACTTTCAACCGTCAACACCATCTGAAGCCCGCGCCATCTCAACCCCCCTCAGCCCAGTTCGCCTCCACAGACGAGGGAGCAGTGGCCTCTGGAGCGGGCTGACCTCGCTGAAAGGATGAAGTGTTCGAGCTCGTCAGGTGCAAGGCTTCGACACGACAGATCAACGCGAGCGAGGTGTGTGTGGGTGTGTGCGTGTGTGCATGTGTGTGTGTGTGTGCCCATCCGGCCTTCCTGCAGGCTGTGTGTCTTGTCCTTGGGCTTCTCGGAAGGCATCTCCTGCCCCCAGTGGACAGATTAGTTCAAGTAATTAGTTCAAGTTTTCTAGGGTGTTTCCAACCAACAACTGAATTTGGCCGGACAACTCAAACCAAGACACTAAGACGGCAATCTGGTGAAAAAAATGGTGCCAATGCCCACGCATTGGAGCCTCGAATGCCTCGTCTCCATAGTCGCTGCCCGGTGACACGGGGGATGCCTGCGCGGTTGCTTGCAACATAGGACGTGGGGTACAGGAGTTGTGACAGCTTGAAGCCACGTCGATCCGTGCGCTCCGCCAACACAAAAGAAGGGCCTCTGCCGACCGGATGCTCGGCTCGCTCGGGACTGCCTCCGCCTCTAGCTCCGCCTTGGC